ATTACTTTTGATTACTTTTTGATTACTTTAAGGTTTTAATTAGTATTGACCCATGATTAATTTTAGCATGTTATTATTAGCTATTGGCCGCAGCTAGCAGTTCAAGGCTAACGTCTTGTTAATGATCATAAACAACGTAAATAAATACATAAATAAATCGGAGACAAGTCAGTCGTATTCAGATACAACATTTTAGTATCTATACTTTTTTAAGTATCGATACTTTTGACAACCCTAGTCTGAAATGTAGGACATGTCCGGGAAAAAGAGGACGTCTGGTCACCCTACAGTTGGGTAGGCTATGCTAGGCTAGGCTAGGCTAGGCTAGGCTAGGCTAGGTCATAGACATCGATAAACGTTTGTCATGCAACACCAAACAGTCAAATATTAGTAAATCAATACGCTTCGTCTATCAGTGAGTTGCATATTTTGCAAAGGTTTTTCTTTATATTTTTTTAAAAATGTAACTAAATTTGTAATTCTTAATATTTTCGGAAGTAACTGTAACTGAATTACATATTTTCTCATTGTAACTGTAACGAATTACAGTTAAATTACGTAACGTCGTTACATGTAATCCGTTACTCCCCAACACTGGTGGTGGGGGGGGGGGGTACTGAGACTTTTCCTGACAGCCGTTTTGACACCAACATCTGCTCCTCCTGATCTCCTGCAGCTGCTCTTTCGTTCTTTTTCGGGCACGTGGAGCAGAAAACCGCCGCAACAAAAGGTGTTGTCCATCATTTTACAGCACACAAAGGCGAGTTTAGTCCTTTAGACTTTTTTGTTTTAGGGTTAAAGAAGAAAGAAGAAGAAAGAAACAGGCCATCAGGACTGCTTTGGATCATAATTTTGTTATAATTTATTTATTTATTTTTATTTATTTTTTTTATTAGGTTTAAACGTCAAAATACAGAATGTGCAAAAATATATGAACAAGATATGTAGACTTTTTTTCTATAACAGAACCGAACATAAGTCGTACAGTACACATGGATAAGCCTTCCCAAATAAAATCCAGAGGAATAAGATTAAAAGTGAGAAAAAAAATAAAAATGAAATAAAAATAAAAAAGGGGGGGGGGAGGATTTAAGAAAAAAAGTGCATCAATGGGTATTAATGACAGACTAAATAATTTGATAAGTAATATGATAATGTAAATATAATTTTGTTATAATTTGTCTGCAATTACTCACTTTAGCATTGTGTGCTATCACATGATCTATGTTAATGACTGATTGTCTTATTACTTTTAGAACTAGGGTAAAAATGTCAGAGAGAGAATCTTGTGTTGTTGTTGCTTTATTTATCTTCAAGTGTCCAACGTTAAAACCCGTCAGTGGACCGGTTCATGGACATCCATAATCCACTAGCTACTAGGATGCTACTGTTATTGCCATCATTACAAAAACAAAAAATAATGGAAGCTTATCTGGCTTCTGAAGAGGGAGTCCAGTTTGAAACCCCTTTTGTACACCTTTGTAAAAATAAATAGGAATAGGAAAAAGAGCTGTTAGGTTTAATGTACTTCACAAACTAAAGGCGCTCACATGACTGGCCATTATACAAAAGAAAAGTTAGCAAAAGATTTTATACTCGAGGAAAGTATAAAGTACTCAAGCGAGTTTAGTCTTTTTTCGCATCTATTTTTTGGCGTTAAAGAAGAAGCAAACCGGCCGAAGGAGCCAAATACAGTCAGGAACGCTCTGGAACTTAATGTAAAGATGAGAACTGAGCAGCCTGTTAGCAATAAGATGTAAAAAGAAATACATTTTAAAGACATAATCAATAAAAAGGGGATTTTATTGGCCTTTTACCTCAGAGACTGAGATAGAGGATGAACCCTGACTTACTCTGACTTTACTACCTGAACTTTAAACTAACTTAGATCATTTATTTTTATTTAATTTATATATTTTATACATATTTTTTATGACTTTGACATGTCGAAAGGTTACTTTGACTGTCGAGTGGAATATTTGATCGAATTTCACTCCGTATGTTGGTAA